TCCCCAGCCTCTTCAAAATGGCACTGCCCAAGCCAAGGTGGGAACCACCACCAAAGTACTTCTCACCTCCCCGGCATTACTTACTTTCACTGCCCTGGGCCACATCCCCTAATGTTGCAGTATTAGCTATGAAAATTAACTATTGAAGTATTTTTAAATCTGCTTCACAGGCAGCACAAAGGCTTCAACCATTATACAGCTAAGAGCTTATTTATTATTTTAATAGTATAAATCTTTTCCCAGTAGCGGTTTCCTAATAGACTAGTTCCTTTTCTTACATTTGGAAGTACAATTTAATGTTCTCTCTTCCCCTTCTCAGATACATGGGAATCCAACAACGTATTAAAAACATATTAATTCCCATCCTTGGTTTTTTTTTTTATTGAAAAGGAGATGGCATTGTGCCACCTTTACAGCAAAAGCTTAAAAGTCAGCCTGCCTCTTACTGAGGGCAATGGGATGTTGAGCAGCAGCCTAGCTTTAGGCTAACCTTCAGGATTATACTGAAGAAACTGGGTGCAGCTCGTAGTGGGGATTGCATGGGGAAAAAAACCAAACCCAAACAACAAAAAGCAAAACCATCAAAAATTCGAACAGCAACAACAAAAAACCCCAGCAGTTTTCTGTGAAGGAGTCCACGGAAAAGACCAGGCTTTCTGTAGAAAACACCCCAACCCACCCCCCTGCTTTTGTTTCAGGCTGTCAGTGTGGCAAAGTTCTCTCTCCAGAAAAATTCTGACACATACTATGCTCCAGGCCTCAGCAACTGTCAATGCTAAAAACCTAAGGTAAGATGAAAAGCTGTTAATAAAAGACTTGGCGAACTGACAGTAATAGCAGAAGAAAGCGCTGCTTCAAATCACTTTTCTCTAGACAGCAGATTTCCTGGAAAATACACCTGCCACCTTTGAAAATGCCCAATTGGGCAGTTTTATCCCCACCAACGCTGACAAGTAAAATGAGTATTTCAGCTTTGCCTGTTCACGTGTTTGAATTTAAGTACTGTGTACTTTTGGGAGGAGCTGAGCAAATCACCCGTGACCAGCAAAACAGCAACATTCAAGTCCTGTCACTTACAGAGCGGTCAACTTGGCCTCATGTTTGAGTCTGACCATTTATAGAAGTTTGTTAGAAACTTGTTTTACGTGTGCTAAATACTTAGACTAAAAGACATATAAATTATATCCTTTATAATAAGTGATAGGCCAAGGAAAGTAAAATTATGCAAACAAATGGAAAGGCTCATTTCAGTAGCAAATAAGCAGGCAGAAGCGACAAAGAAAAATCCACATAGTTTGAGGGAAAACAATCAAGTTAATTTGAAGAGTGTGAAATGACTGACCAGTAAAGTAATTTCAATGGCAGCTCTAAAATACACCAAACCCACTGGAATTTTCATGACTTAAGCACACAAATAGTATTACCCTTACTGGTAAGCAACGTAAAGGTAAATTAAGCAGTGGAGAGTTGAGACTGAAGGCCCTCATCCCACCCCAGACCCAAGGGATGCTGAAGAGAGAAGTACTGTAACAGCCAGCAGGCACCAGGTAATTAGGTAATGGTTTTGTGAGACGGTCCTGGTTGCATCTGTCAGAAACAGAGACACGACAAACTCGGCATACTCTAAGGTAAGCCAGATACACTGTCTACTCCACTTCAGAATCTTCATTTTACTGTATTTTACATAAATACGAATCCTCGTGAAGTAAAGATTAGCAAAGTAATTGTTACATTAAATCTGATTACAAGCTTTCTCTTTCTTCCCCGTTTAGGACTCAAGTCTGTAATGGCAAAATCTGTAACTTCTACAACAGAATTCCATTAATAGTAGCAGAGTTTAGCATATAACATAACAGCTGCTTTACTGATAGCATGAAAAAAAGGAAAAGGATTGTCTGATAAACCCATTATAAAAAGCCAGCTAAAGCATTTTTGTTAAGCTGTGCTAGGAAAACCAGCAGGTTTTTTTTATTTATTTATGACTTTAGAGATGAATGAATGAATGAAAAAAAAAAAGTACATTCAAACCACTTAAACACTTCAAAAGCATTTTACTAAGAGGTTTAGGTTTTGTGCTGACTCCAAGTTACTTAAAAATTAGGAGCATTTCCAGTGAAAATGGTACATATGCTAACTTGTAGAAGACTCCTCTCTTCCGGAAGCAGAAAGAGTTGACAAACCTACACACACTGCTTGCCTGTGAAAATACCCATTTTTAAAAAAATTAAGAACGGAAATACAAGGGATTAAATGACAAAAAAGCCTCCTTTTTATTAAAACTTTTCAAGTTACAATGATAAATGATGGATTGTCACTTTTTATGATCAACGAGTTTGGCTCTTATACCAGTCACCAAACTCGCAGGGGAATTCTGTTATAGGCTTTAAGTACAACTGTTCGTGCTGCTGTGCAGCAGCCCACCACGGTGTACCTGTCTCATAGTCCGTAGTACTATCACACCCGTGCAGTGCCTCAGAAAGGTTATGTTTGGTCACTGCTCACACACCACTTCCTTTCACTGCTAAGTAAAAAAATTGATTCATTCAGTTATTGAATAATACCATGTAAAGATACCAAAAGTAAATATAATTCATTTTGGATTCAAACCCTCCCCCCCATACCCTCAAGCAGTCACACTATAAAAAAAATGTACTCCTAATCCCCCTTAAGCTTTTGCATGGCAGTTGAACCCTCTCACAGAAATAAGTCACTGTGGGTTTTTTTGTCTATTTGGATCCTGTAGATAGCAGAGCAATCAGTCCAGATGAAGCACTTATAGAAAGAATATAGTTTCTGTAGGGAAAAGGTTAAGGACATATATTTGTAAAGATATCACTTCTTTGCAGAGAACATTTAGTAGAAGTTTTACCAAAAAGAAGGGATTGAAATGGTCTTCCTCTGGAGGAGTTTTCAAATTGCAACATCATCACCTGAAATACAGCTTACAATCAAGGCGTTAGCAGGACGCTGAAATGCGCTTAACTTCAAAATCAAGACACCCATAAAGTTTAGCCTGTTCTCTTAAAAGTACTTATACTGTTAAGTATCACAGATCTTTAATTAAAGCATGTGGCCCTGATTGGCAGTACTTCAGTAACAAAAAGCGTTACTTGTGAAATTACTGAAAGTAAACAATCCTGTAACATAAGAGCACCTGCCAACTAACACTGATGCAGTGTTTCTGTGAGAACATGAGCTGCCTCCTCATTCCACAATTACAACTGAAATGGCAAAGCCAGATAAGCCTTAAAACATCTCATGTCATATGTGAAACATTTACATGACTGGGAGATTTTTTTTGGGGGGTATCTCTATTTTTATGTCACAGTGTTTCTAAGCTGAGGTACTACAATGAACTGCACGTATCAACAGAGTAATCTCACAACCCACCTCACAAATATAGCTACGAATGACAACAAATAGAAGTAGGACTCCGGCTGTTTCAAGTGTGGTAATAAAGGATACACAGTGGGGTTGAAGTTCTTCAGCACAAAAAATGAAGCAATGATGACCAAGACCAGAAAGAGAGTATTGTTGTAGAAGATGGAAAAAGTTGTTGCTTCATAATCTGCAACTTCATTTTTCTTCCACAGAATTCTAGGAACAAGTAGAGACATTATTTCAGGCACATTTAAATCAATGCATATCCTGGCACAACCACCGTTATGAAGCGACTGACATACAGAGGGGTAGTAAACCACATACTGCTGCTCCTGTTACAGCCAGCTTCTAAAAGACAGAACGCAGTAAGAACTACCCGTCAACTCATGAGTTAAAGACAAAACCCTGCATCTACCATGCACTTGTACACTTAAGTGACTTACGCTTGTTTTCCTACCAGGCACATCAAACTTAGCCCTTTATAAATAACACTTTTTGTGAGTTTGCATCGGTCGGATGCTACCAGCATGCCCGGCAATTAGAAGGGAAGATACGGCTTTTTGCTCCAAAGAGCTGACAGTTCGTGTCCTTGCGTCTTGTACATAATGGGCATCTTCTCTAATCCTAAATGCTTCCTGATACACTCATCGGGCAAAGCCTGGATGCAAGTATGAGCTATTCCACTGGAAATCTGCGTAGTGAGACGTGCCAGTTACAACCCTGAGTGGTAACAATTACAACCAGTGACCAGCAGTGCAGTTCAGCAGTATATGGAAATGCTATTCTGAAGGCACTTGCACGTCACTATGCAAAGTACATCACACTAAAAGGAACTTCTTCTATTTCCAAAGACAGCTGTGATGCTTACTCTTCAGAGAGTCATTAGAAGGCCCGTACAGTCAGTTGTTTTGCTTTGCAGCTCAAGGACTGCAATGTTGCCTTATAGATAAAGGTTTCAATGTTTGAGACCCTTCATTGACAACTTGCCTCAGAACAGCTTTACAGATGAACAAAGAGCTGACTGTACAGCTTCTACTTGCCAGAACACAAAAATCCCCCCAACAATGGCCAAGCAACAGTCCCTAATATCCTACCTAGGGCCTTAAAGATACCAGGCAGTGTTACAAGAATGAAGAGAACAAAGAGAATTACCTTTCATCCTTCTCCTTACGAGACATCTTCCTATTGTCTGCCTCAGACAGCTTGCGAGTAACTTCTTTGGAAACAGCATCTTCTCTTTTCTGTGCTACTCTGTAAGAAATACCATTTAAGTTGAAAAATGAAAATAAAAACTCCTGAGGTTATAGGAAGTTGTATTTACAGTGAAGAATAATACTTTGCTAAGACATTGACCAGTTTTGCCAAGTTGAAGGGACAACAATCAAATCACTAAAAGTATTAGTCAAATATAGTTTGTGGCAATACCCGCTGAGAATGAAGGTAGTTTTGCTATTTCATTGTACGCTTAGCTGAGAAGGCTAGTCTATTCCATAATTCCAAGAGAGATGACAGAAACCAAGCAGGAGACACTTCTGTGTAAAACAGGTTTGGAGTAACATTTCAGATGTTCTTATTCATTAAAAAATGCTGTAAATGCTGGTTTTGTTAAATTATTCAATAACAATTTCTACTTCAAATAGCCACCAAACTTACTTGTGTTTGAGAACAAACTTGACATTCTTGTACGCAAAAGCTACCAGGTAGGTACTGATGAGGGTCATTACGCTATACAGGACTGCAGACTGAACAAGATCCATATGCCATATTCTCCAATAAAGCCCTTAAAAGAAAGGGAAAAAAGCCATTTTGAGTGGTTTCTTTCTCCAAGAAAAACGCCCCCTCAGGAGTCCTATGTAGCTTACTAGCTCTGTAGTTCGGCACTGGCTCTGCCAGACCAAAACCAGTTCCTGCAAAATCACTTGCGGGGGGGTTCAAACTGCATTAAAAAATACTTTCGAACAGAGAAATCTGGAAGGGGCCTTATGAGACCACGTCAGACTCGGCTGAGAAGCAGCCCAGCGCAGACAGCCCGCCAGCTGTCGGCAGCGCTGATGCTGACACGTCAGTGTTCGCCCAGCAGCTCG